TTCCTAATTTCAGGAAGAATAAACCGGCAACATTAGCATCATTTTATACCAAGGATTTTTTAAAATGTGTACCATCAGAGGACTTTTCTAGAAAAAGAAGAGTATTCTGCCTGGGGTGCCTGGGTGGCTCACTCGGTTAAGCGTCCAACTCTGGCTCAGGTCATGATCTTGTGGTCTGTGGGTTCGAGCCCTGCGTCACAGGCTCTGTGCTGACAGCTCAGAGCCTGGAGCCTGCTTCAGATTCCGTGTCTCCCTCTCTCTGCACCTCCCCTGCTTGCACTGTGTCTCTCTTTCAAATATAAATAAACATTTAAAAATAAAGAAAAAAAAAGGAGTATTCTGCCTTAGGTATTATGTCAGAAAGCCCATCACCATGCAGGAATAAAACAGAGAACAGGGGCGCCTGGGTGGCGCAGTCGGTTAAGCGTCCGACTTCAACCAGGTCACGATCTCGCGGTCCGTGAGTTCGAGCCCCGCATCAGGCTCTGGGCTGATGGCTCAGAGCCTGGAGCCTGTTTCCGATTCTGTGTCTCCCTCTCTCTCTGCCCCTCCCTCGTTCATGCTCTGTCTCTCTCTGTCCCAAAAATAAATAAACGTTAAAAAAAAAAATTTTAAAAAAACAGAGAACACAAGGTCACTTAACATTTTTTTTAATTAAAAAAAATAAAACTCCACCTACTCAAATTGCCTAGGAGGATGAGATTAGGCTCACATTAGCCTTAGGTTCACTTTGACAAGTTATTGGAGAACAAAATTCTTGGCAGATTCCAGGAAAGCAAAAATCTTTAGCCAGGAATCTGGCTATAGGGCATCTTTTTGGGGCGCCTGGGTGGCTCAGTCGACTAAGCATCCAGCTCTCAGTTTCTGCTCAGGCCATGATCTCACTCACGGTTCATTAGTTCGAGCCCTGAGCCACACGTTGGGCTCAGTGCTGACCGCGCAGAGCCTGCTTGGGATTTTCACTCTCTGTCTCAAAATAAATAAACTTAAAAAAAAAAAAAAGTATCTTTTCTTCTTATTCCCCTGGCTCAAAATCTTACTAAAATTAGTATCTTCAGGGGCACCTGGGTGGCTCAGGCGGTTAAGCGTCTGACTTTGGCTCAGGTCATGATCTCACAGCTCTTGAGTTCGAGCCCTGAGTCAGGCTCTGTGCTGACAGCTCGGAGCCTGGAGCCTGTTTCCAATTCTGTGTCTCCCTCTCTCTCTGTCCCTCCCCTGCTTGCACTCTGTCTCTGTCTCTCAAAAATTAATAAACTTTAAAAAAAATTTTTTTAAATTCGTATCTTCAGTAGAGATAAATCAAGAAAAATTGTATTCCCTAAAATAAAATTCCTCAGAAAATGATGGAGCAATTATAGGATTCCTGTGACAGAATTTTTGCTTCATGTACTGATTTCTTTTTTGTTTTTTCTTTTTTTGAGAGAGAGAGAAAGCGCGGAGAAGGGGCAGAGAGGGGGACAGAGGATCCAAAGCAGGCTCCGCGCAGACAGCAGAGAGCCCGATGTAGGGCTCGGACTCCCGATCCATAAGATCGTGTCTTACTTCGGACACTTCGACTGAGCCACCCGGGCGTCCCCACGGACTAATTTCTAATCCAATTCCCGGCCACTTGCATTACCGCAGAGCATGCAGCATCGAAGGGCTCCACCCTCGTGCACACACTACTAGACCACGGGGGAGAAACAGGCAGGCTAGGCCCCTCTCTCGCACCAGACCCCTTCTAGGCCCTGTACCTAACGGCTATTTTGTTTTCTGAAGGAAGCCCCCCAGATTGTATCAACTCCAAGCCCCACAAAGTCTGGATTTATTCCTGGGGAGAAAAATCGAGACTCTTCCCTCAAGGTGCCGACAGCCCAAGAGCATCAAGGTCCCTTCCTGTCCTGCCTCATCTGTAGCCGCCGGCATGAGACTCCCGAGGGCTGGGGCCTCCAGGGCGGTCATGGGCCTTATCACGAATTTCATGCGGGCTCCAGGTAAGGCCCACTAATCTACAGCTTTTCAAAAAGACCCTCTGGTGATTAAGCACCGCACTGGTGTTCCAGTCTTGGGTCTCCCTTCCTTCCGGGGCACATTCTAGAGAGCTGCCAGAGTTAACAGCAGGCCTGGCACACTGTGCTCCCCTCAGTAACATCTGCTTGAGGGATATAAATACGAATTGCTTCCTTGTTCAAAACCATCACCTGCTCTCAATATCCACAATATAAAATGCAAACCCCTTGGCCTGGCGGGCTCCAGCCAGCTCTGGGTCCAGCCTCCTCCTGCCACTTCTCTTTCGCCCCCAGAGTTCTGTGCTTCTGAAATGCTCCTGGGCACCCCTCAATGCCATGGCCTCGCGTGCTTTTAGGTCTTCAACTGGCTGCCTCTGATCCCCACAACGACCCTCGCTCACCCTTGCAGGCACACAGAGCACACACAGCTATACACATACACAGCATGGCTTCGAGGTGGCTTGATCTGACCCACCCCCACAGCCCCCTTCGACAGGCAGACTTAGGCAGTTCTACTTCTAAACATCCTAGGCACCGGCTAAGCATGTGCATTACAGTTCTTCTCACACCAAGCTGTCATTGCCTTGACGCTCTTCTGCTCATATCAGGGAATTCTGAAGGGTAGGATCTGTATCTTTTCACCTCTGTATCCAGGGCTCCCAGGCACAGTGCCTGGCCCATTATAGATTATCAATTTGGGGAAAAAAAAAAAACATTTTGGGGACACACCTGGATGGCTCAGTTGGTTGAGCATCTGACTTTTTTTTTTTAATGTCTATTTGTTTATTTTTGAGAGAAAGGGAGAGCACAAGTTGGGGAGGGGCAGAGAGAGAAAGAGGGAGACACAGAATCTGAAG